TGTCATGACTTTCCTACAGCTAGACATTTTGGATTCAATAAGACCTTGGAACTTTTTTCTAGAGATTTTTTATAGCCTAATATGTGGAAGGACGTTAAGAAATTTGTACTATCATGTGATATTTATTCAAGGTCAAAGAACCCTCAACATCAGCCATATGGACTTCTTCAATCCTTTCCTATTCTAGGACAACCATAGTCATCTATCTCTATGGATTTTATTATAGATCTTCCACCATCAAACTCATTTGATACTATCTTTGTAGTTGTTGATTGATTGACTAAGATGGCACATTTTATATTTTGCAAAAAGTTAGTTATTAGTGTAGAAATAGCAAGATTCTTTATTGACAATATGTATCATTACGACGGGTTTCCAGATGACATTATATCGGACCATGGGCCACAATTTATATCAAGGTTTTGGAAGGCACTCTTCAAGATTCTTAAAGTTGACATCAATCTTTTCTCTACCTTCGATCCTCAAATTGATGGCCAAACAAAGTAGATCAACCAAATTCTTAAGCAATATTTGAGGTGTACCATCAACTATCAATAAGTCGATTGGACTTCCTACTTCTTATTGGTGGAGTTTGCATATAATAATACAATTCATGCATCTATGCAACAAATGCCATTCTACTCAAACTATGGTCATCATCTAAAGTTGGATATGATAGAGCCTTAAAAACCAACAAATCTAGCAGAAGAAGAGTTTATTATAAAGATGGCCGAACTTCAAACAACCATGAAGTTTCACCAAGAAAAGGCTCAACAATACTATATGCTACTAGCAGATGAATTGAGGAAGGAACATCTTCTATTCCAAGTTGGTGACAAAGTGTGGCTTCTTTGATACAATATAAAAACCAACAAGTCATGTGATAAGTTGGACTATCGAAGGTTGAGACCATTTGCGATTCAAAAATAAATTAATAATGTAACTTATTGCTTGGAGTTATCTTCATCCATGAAGATTCATCTAGTCTTTCATATTTTAGTTTTGAAAAGGTATAAAGAATCGAACATACTAGGTCAAAGACAACCTCCACCTCCTATAGTTGAAATCAATGATCATGTTGAATTTGAAGTAGAAGATGTATTAGATTCAAGGATAAGACATGAAAGGCTTAAATATCTGATCGATTAGCACAGATATGATATCAATGATTATATATGGGAACTAATTGGCAACCTTGTAAATGCATAAATGAAGGTTCAAAGGTTCCATCAACAATATCCATTCAGATTAAAAGCAGCAAAATGAAGAATAGTAGTTTGATAAGATAGCTCTACCATGACGATTCTTTGTTCTTGGCTCCATAAAAAAGGAGAGGAGGCAACCTTTGAAGAGGCAGTTTTTTCAAATGTTTAGAACATTATAAGTTACTTGTTCAAATACACAACCATAGCTTGTTTATATTCTTTTGGTCTTATCTACTTTATATGATATGGATAGACAACAGATAGATGCTTTGCCAATCATACCATCTCAATCAAGTAGCTTGCAAAGACAATTCCAAAATAAAGAGCCACCTGAATCACAAAGACGTCAAAGGATACCTAGTAATAGATTGTTGGTAATTGTGTTTGAAGTAGAACCTACCTATAAAGGATGTCTAGAAGGAGTATTTGCAAGACAATTCTACAATAAAGATATCAAAGTTTATGCTTGGTGACAAGTAGAAGGCTTGGATCATTATCAATGGCTACAAGGGCTTATGAACCATTTACGTTGCAAAAAATAATTGGAATATATAACAGATACCATGCAAAAGATCTTCAACTTCTTATGCATATACTAACTAGTTACAATATTGCTTCTCAGAGACCTCGAAGCTAGAAGAGGAAGTGATGTTATAGACATACAACTGAAAAAGATTCCAAAAGGTTCTAGAAGGTTTGAATAGGATCTAAGAAGGCACCAAAAGATTCTAGGAGGTTCTACAAGGTTCCAAAAGGTTCTAGTGGGTTCTAAAAAGGTTCCAAAAGGTTCTAGTAGATTTTAAGAAAGTTTTAGAAGGTCATAGGACATCCTCAATCTCGACAACTGACTTCTTATGGTCTAGCCAAGACCTTCTTGCCTTATATCCACTTGTTATTCTAATGTCAACCTAACTCCATATTTTGATCTTGAATCCTTCTCTTGTATATAGTCTTTAACAAAGGCTTGTGGTCTAAGCCTTGAAGTAGTAGGATTCTTCTATAGTGGCTTCACAAAAGAAAAAAATAATAATTTAGGAATAATTTTTGTAGCCACATGACATATCTAAAAGAATTTGAAGAAATTTTGTTAGTAATTTTTAAAGAAGATATTATCTATCTATATCTACTTTTATTTATTGAAATGAAATAAATAATAATTAAATAAAATTTAAAGGAATAAAATTAATTTAATATGACTTAAAAAATAAGAAAAAAATATTAAAGACAAGCTTATAGACAAAGGAAGTCTATTTTGTATTAAAAAATAGACTTGAACTTTCAATAAATATATTATTACAAAAGCTTCTAAATTAAATTTGGATTTAAGAGAAACAAATTGATTATTCAACTGAAGCATTATATAAGACATTCTATTTTTAAAATATATATATATTACTATTATTATTATATTATATTAAATATTTAAAAACAAATCTTATGAATAAATCCAATGTTCTTTTCAAGAAGAGTCAAAAAATATTCCAAAATATACAAAATATATAATTTGTTTAAAAAAATATTCAAATAAATTGAAAATATTATTATTATTTATAAATCAATTATCAACTTAATATTACCTTGATTTAGTTGTGATTTTTTATTTTTTTATTGATATATCTAAAATCAGAAATGATGTATTCATAAATATACAATTGCTAAAAATGTAGTAATAAATAAAATTATTTAAAGTATATTTTTACTGAAAATATTAAAAGATAAAACTTAATTATACTAAAAATATTATAATTATCTAAATGTGAATTTATTACAGAAATGATAAATCATATTATGGAACAAAATTAAAACATATACATCAACATCATAGCAATATTTTTGGAAAATATTATTAAATTTTTTGAATTTCTTTTTTATTCTTTTTCTTTTTACTCTTATTAGTATTCACAATAAAAATTAAAATAAATTTATTTTCACAAAATATTAATAAATTTAAATATTATTTTTGATAATTATAATAATTTTAACATGTATTATGTCTTTTTTTTCTTTTCTTTTTGATCAAAGAAATGTTGATTTGGTTTTTTGTATTACTAATAAGTATTGGTTAGATGAAGTTTTCAAGATTTTTTATTTTATTTTAATGTTTGCATTTTAAAAAAGAATATCAAAAAAAATGTGACATATATATATATATATATATATGTGTGTGTGTCAAATAGACTTTGGCTTTTACTAAATTGACCCAACCATGCTAACCATCAAATTAAAATATATATATATATATATATATATATATATATATCTACATTTATTTCTCCACTATTGGATCCAAAATCAATGAAAACCAACCACATTCATCATGATTGCCATATTCTTCATCATAAATAGGTAAATTTAGTAAAAATCCAAGTCTATTTAATATTTTTTTTCCTCTCTCTCTCTCTCTCTCTCTATATATATATATATATATATAATTTTAGAAACCTTGTAAAAAATAAAAGTATCAAAGCAAAGATGTATGTATGTATGTATATATATATATATATAAGATAATGTTAAATAGATCCATATTTTATCTAAATAGATCCACCATTGATGAAGAAAATGGTAATCATGATGAATATGATTGGTTCTTATTAGTTGCAGATCCAAATAGTGGAAAAATGAATCTAGAGATCCTTTTTCTTTTTATTTTTTATGATAGTTAAAATAGGTGGATTGATATAATAAAGCCTTGGGTCTATTTAATATATATTTGTATGTTCTAAAATAAATTAATTTTATAATTAAAATTTAAAAATATATTAATATAAAATACAATTATATATAGAAATAAATGATATTATATTTATTTTTCTATTTTTATTTTATTTTATGATATAGAATCAAAGACCAAAACATTATTCACTTAAATTATGATTTTTTCAAGATTTTAACAAATGATTTGCTTATATTTGAATCATTTTATTTAAAATTGAAATATCACATCAAATGTAAAGTATATCCATAACTAAAAACTAATAAATACTACATTAAGGATTATCATTTCTTAATCATAGAATAAAAATTTAAAAACATAATTCTTATTGTGTTTAATTATTTGAAACAAACTATCATGTATGTCACGAGCAATGAAATAATGAATTCTACAATTATAATAAGAAAAATTATTTAAAGAACAAAACATCTAAATTGTATTGATTTCTGTAGAAGAATGGTACACTTGGTTTGAAAGTGTAAAAATAAATTCACCATATATCTTTATAAATATAGTTTTCTACATAAGTATTTAAATTTTCTTCAGACGGAGCAAATTATTGTAATACTTTTTTGAAAGATCTATTGGCATTGCATTGTAAAACACAACAAACGCTAGAAAAGAAAAAAGGAAAAAAATACTTTTGGGAGAAGGATGAAAGTAAAAGGTGGAGGGATCCGTCCCCGTGATTACGGGCCCCTTGTTTTCAGGGGGGCACCCGTCCCGTCACCAACGGGTGGAGCACCAGCATGGCATGATGCATCGCCACGTAGGCCCCGAGACTATATCCTACGTGGACCCTACCCAAAACCGACCCGAGGTTAAACTCAGGTGCAAAAGACACGTGTATCAATCCTATTCCCGTTAACCTAATTCCATCACCGCGTCCTTTCCCCCATCGCCGCGGCGATGGTGGGAGAGTCCGAGACCGCCCTCGCGCTTGATGAGCTCTACCGAATGCGGTCGATGGGGTCCTTCGAGTGAGAGCACATGAGCAGAAGAAGAAGTAGCTCAGCTGCTTCTGTGGTGGGTTGATTTAAAAAACTACACGGGGAGGGTGGGGGGAAAGAGAGGGAAAAGTAGTAAGGTGGGGCTGCTATTTGGGGAAGAGGTGATGCAAGCCACCAGTGAGGCGATGGCGGAGAAGAGGTCTGCGTCGCCTCGACGAAGTCAGAGACGTGAGCGAGGAGGAGAGAGGGTGAGAGAGAGCGTAATGGACAGCAGTACAGGATGAACAGCTGGGTTACAACTAGGGGGCTCAGATCTACTGGCGAACAAGGGCTGAATCACCAACAAGTAGCCCAAGTTAGCAAGCGATGGGTCTGGCCGGCGGGATTGAAGCAGATCCACCCTGGATAAAACATGCAGGGTGGGGGTGGGGCTGCTGAGTGGAATTCAAAACACGAGATGGAGTTGATATGAAAAATCGGCAACGCGGAGTTCGTGGTGTGCTGTCCCAGAAAATCGTTCTCATCGCGTTCGACTTCGAAAGCCATCGTCGTCGATATCTCACGTACGTTGTGCATGAGTGTTGTCACGACTTTCATCGCTTGAGAGAGACGGATCTGAGCTGCGCGGGTGTGACGGACTAGGCTAATCTTGTCGAGCTTCCATCCTCGTGTGGTAGGTTGGGGAGGAGGAGGAGGAAGGGCCCGGTGTGGTTGTGAGTCTGGTGAGGGGAAAACATCTCCAGGCGGTAGTAATCGAGCTCCATAGGCACGTAGGTGTGTAGAAGGTTACCATCTCAGGAGAGGCTTTAGATTTGCAGTCGTGGTTTTGCAGCTCCATGCGCAAGCAGGGATGAGATTTTATGACCGTGGTTGAGTCGAGTCCAGGGGGATTCGGCTTTCGGGTGCTCCTTGTAAGGGGTTTGAATTGTTTGGATGCTGGTGAAAACCCAGGAGGAGCAGGTCATGCGGAGAGGCTGAGGCCAGGGAGGCTTGAAACTTTAGATGTGTGGATTCCATGTAGACAGGCGGGTGAGAGTTGGGGAGAGCCTGGCACGCAGAGCTGGGTACAGAACAATTTTCTGAATGACTAAAGCGTTGAGGTATTTGTGCTGTGGGGCAAAATGTCTCGGGGCTTCTACCAAGCCCGAGAAGGAGACGACTTCGAAGAAAGTTGTCAAGGGCTCGAAATCCAAGAAGCGTGGCAGCGTTTTAGTGCAGAAGCCCGCGGACACGACGTTCTACGGGCCGCGAATCTTCACATTCAGGGAGTTGTCGACGGCGACGAAGCAGTTCAGCGCGGAAGAGGTCCTCGGTCGGGGTGCCTTCGGGAGCGTATTCAAGGGGACATTGAAGGATGGATCAATAGTTGCAGTGAAGCAGATCGCGCACGATTCCAACCAAGGAGAGCGGGAGTTCCTGGCCGAGGTTTCTATCATTAGCCGCATTCGTCACCAAAACCTTGTGCAACTTCAGGGATGGTGCCACGAGAAGGGCAACCTTCTCCTGGTCTACGACTACATGCCCAATGGCTCTCTCGACAAGCTCCTCGAAGGGAACAATGCCAACGCGAAGCTGGCGGGATGGGATTTGCGGCACTCTGTTTTGCGAGGAGTGGCGTGTGCATTGTCGTACCTTCACGAAGAATGCCAACAATGTGTGCTACACCGCGACGTGAAACCCAGCAATGTATTACTGGACGAGAATTTCAGCCCACATCTCGCTGACTTTGGACTCGCCCGCCTGATTCATCACACTACCGACAACGTGCAGACGACAATCATCGCCGGAACACGGGGCTACTTAGCTCCGGAGCTCGCACAAGTAGGCAAAGCTTCAACGAAATCCGACGTGTTTAGTTTTGGCGTGTTGGCTTTGGAAGTTGCGACGGGCCGCAAAGCGCTTGAGAAGACCCAGTCGGAGAAGCAAGCTGTGAGTCTGGTAGACCTTGTGTGGCGAGCGCACGAGCAGCACAAGCTTCTGTCTATGGCGGATCCGAAGCTCGAAGGCGCATACGACCCCGAGAAAATGAACAAATTACTCCAGATGGGATTGTTCTGTTGCCACCCCAATCCCGAAGCCCGCCCTCCCATGAACTACATCCGCCAGTGGTTCATTCAAGAGGTTCCACTCCCCGATCTTCCCCCAGTCAAACCCCGCGTCAACTACGTCCTCACCTCGCCATCGCCCCCCAAGCTCGCGCTTCCGGCCCCCGAGGCCAAGCTCGCCATCGCAGGCCCCGAGGCGAAGCTCGCGCTTCCGGCCCCCGAGGCCACGCTCGCTATCGAAGGTCCCCAGAAGAGCAGTAGCACCCCAAGCAAATCTCCAAGCCCTACTGACAACCGCAGCCCGGCACCGAAGAGTCCCATTCCTCGAAGCCCCACAACCCCGAGCCCGATCACCTCGAAGGAGCACACAAAATCGAACGGCGCCAGCCCGCAACCTCAAACGACGCCACAAACTCAACCGACGCAACCAAGCTCTGCTACTAACGGTAATTAGATTATTTCATATCGCAATCTGCACTGGGAAATTCTTGTGCTGTGGGCTGATTAGTACTGGTTACGGGTTCGGAGGGTTACAGAACTACAATTAAGTCGCTTCACAGGAACCCTGTAATCTATTTAACTTCATTCCCGTCACTATATTTCATTTAGGGTTTCAAATGAGTATATAGTCGAGTAAGCTTCTGATTGTTGGGCAACAGACATTCTCACTTCTTCTGCTCGTCGCGGATGTTGCCCTCTCCCATCAATCACCGCGTGTGAACCAATATTTTTTCTCGTGTAACTCATATGGTTTCTTTCTCCAACGAATTCGTTCCCGGGTAGTAATCTACAGACGATCTGCTTTGAAGTGGGCAATCGCTTCACTTCAGTTGGGTCTTTCTCTCTGTTTTCCGGGTCACAGGATCCGCATCGTGGTCCGTCCCCGCCGTGAATTCGATCGGTCCACGCATTCTCGTGGGAGGGATCGGGCAATCCGGTTGTGGGTTTATGACGGATCCGCGATCATGGAGCGTATCGATTGGATTTTTGCGGGTCGCGAGTGCGCGAGGGGCTCGCTCGCTCGCCGGTGGAGCGAGGCTTGCGCCCCTCAGACGGCGAGAGCTTCAATGGGCGGGCTTCCATGCCCGTGGCACCTCCTCGGCAGTTAGGGTTTTGGTAGTTGTTTGGATGCAACTTTCCATGTACAAATAAACAATTTATGATATTCTTCGGCATCTTTTTGTATTATTTTTAATGAAACCATGATAATTCTTTTTGTTCACGTTCTAATGTACACGTGAAGATGTCCAATTGGGTGTGTATATATTTTGGGTTTTTAGTGTAGTTTCTATCCTTTGATAAACTTGTAACTTAAGGGTCTTGTTTTCATGCAAATTGGGTGTGTGTGTTTTTTATTCCACGTTGAGTCTTTTGGTGAATGTGATGCAAGTTTTAAAAGTAAACTTGTAAACCCATTGCTTGCCGTCAATGCACCCATTCTGTGCTAACATGAAAGAAGATAAATCCAAAGGAATAAATAATTAATTAAGCAACTGGAAAGTATAATGAAAATTATTTGGAAAAGAAAATAAAAAGAAATCTACAATTGTAAGGTAACTTGATGAGAAGTGACGATAATTCACACCTTCTTTTAACAATTAAATCAAAAGGGGGAAATTACGAATGCAAAAACAATCGATAATAATTAATATCATGTTTTTCTTTTCTTTGGTAGGTGAAACTTCATAAAAGCAATGGGAGTTGATATGTTAGCCGGAAGAATTACAGAATAAAATCAATTAATTTTCAAAACCTATTTATGTTGGTACGTCAGTTGTTCCATCTACAAATTGTATAGATAAGATTGTTGCAAAAATTGTGTGATATTTCAATATTTTTAGTATTTGTAACAAACTGCTCTATTAAGTTTAGGGATGACTAACTTGTAATGATGTTCACTGTATTGATTTGTTTTAGACGTTCTTTATTCTAGAGTTTTTCATCTTTTATTTATTGTTGTGTTGAAACAAAACTTATTCATTTGCAACAAAACATCCATAAGTTTCAATTAAATTCTATCAAATCTTTTGAGATTATATTTTAGTGTATGCTTGTTCAAATCATAATTATTCTAAGTATTTGAATTGGAGATTTTATTTTTATTTTATATTATCAGCATTTTTGAATGGTCATTGTATCTAAGTTGATTTTATGTGCTTATCTATAGATAACCTTACATGTGGTTAAGACAAAAATAAGTAGTTCTAAATATAATTGGAATATTAGAAAAAACAAAGATTCATATGCAAATGTTTACAAGGTGTATATATATATATATATATATATATATCTGTGGGAGAATGATAAAGCAACCCAAATATTTACTAAAGCGGCCCACTCTATTTTAACCATTATTGCACTCTTGCAGCCCTAATCCTTATTCCCACCCATTCCCCATTCTCATCTATTGCTAAGGATGGAGCGGGGGGTTGGGAACAAAGGAACAAGAGTAATGGTTGGGAACAAGAGAACAGAGGTGATGGTTGAGAATAGGAGAACGGTTGGGAACGGGGATGAGGTTGAAAGGGTACGACGATGGTTTAAACATGTGGGTCAATTTAGTAAAAACTTGGGTCGCTTTATCATTTCCATATATATAACCGATTATTTATAAGAACTATGGGCGAATGAATAAACTAAAATCTACAAAAGATTAGTCAAGATGTGCACATTTTATAATCTCTAAATGATTTTGATATATTATTAAAAAATAAGTTTAATTCAATTTTTATCTTTAATACATTATCAAAATTTAATAGATATATCTAAATGACATAATATTTATAGGAAAAAAGGTATAAGTAGGGTTAATTTATAAATACAAATATGACTTATATCATTTCAAAAATAAAATATTCAAGGTTTGGATGTCTTGTCTACCTTTTTTCTTTCACTTCAAAATTTGATTTGTTTTATATTTACTATATTATATATGCTTTCTTGGAAACTCTTTGCTATAAAGTCTTTGTCTAGCTCTAAAACAAATATTATTATTTGTATAGAAAGATGATAATATTCATATTGTATGCTATTCATTTTACATCATTTTTATCTTTCTGAGTACAGATCAATCACATAGACTCTAGCATGATTTTTAAAAATAAAATGACTTACTTTCTCGCATATATACATATATTTATATGTATATTAAAAAATTAAAAAATTGATGCAGATCCTTAATGGACGAGATTTGATATCATTGTTGTCCATGAATTGTATTTTTTATAAATTAATCATTTGATTTACAATTTAGGTATATACATATATAAAGTCCACATCATGTTTCAACCTCATTTAACAATACATTTGCTTTACAATGGTATAAAATATTTCAAATATATAAAATAACATCATAAAAAATTACATGGTAAATACAAAGTTAATATATATATATATATATATATATATTTTATTACGAATTTGGATTGCAGAGTTTCATGTCTACTAATCATGGAAATTAATTTTCATATTGTGATTAAAAAATACATTTGACAATTATAGACTTAATATATATGAGTGTATAAATATATATATATATATATATATATATTCTGAAAACTTTGAAAAAATGCAAAAAAAGGAAAATATGTTTTAACTTCACATTGATTTTACAAAAAATGTTTTAAAGGTTTACCATAAAAATACCTTTATAAGATACAAAATTTATATTAAGATTCACATGAACTGATATCTCAGCTGAGAGTCACAACTTTTGGCTTATGCATAATGAAAGAAAGAAATAAAGTAGCTATCTATCTATCTATCTATCTATCTATATGTATATATAATTTTGTAGGAGAAAAGAAATAGTTACGACACCCATGAAGCTAAAAAGAAAGTTATGTAAAAGGCACAGTGAACACTCAGACACACACACACACAAACTAAAACAGTACAAAACTCCTTTACTTCAAGTCCAAAAATTGAATCATAAGGTGGATTTTAAGTTTCGAAGAGATTGGTTTGAATGAGAACAAGCTTTATAAATAGAGTTTGGGGCTCCACCCAACAACAACGGAGACAAATCATCTCAAATTACTATTTATAATCCCAACACCACACCAAAAAATATATGGCTATTATCACAAAAAAACGAAATATATCATCCATCCTTACCACAAATACACCAAGCACTGAGACGCCTAGAAGGATGAAAAGAACGACGATATCCCGTCGAGACGTTCATTCATCCACACGAGCCAGTTGTGAAGAAGCGAGAAAGGGGGAGAGGGAGCGGGGACGGGGGACGTGGCCCGCTGACTCACCCTAAGATTCCGCATCGGACTCTGTGTCCGCGTAGTGGCGTTACGAAGCGGCAGCGTGAAGACAGTCAGCGTCAGCATCGTCATCCGCGGCGGAGGCAGGTGGCGGTCTCGCGGGCAGGGCAGGGGGCAGGGCAGAGCCGTCCTGACAAAGCTCCGATCGTCGCGTGCCGTCCCGTGGCGGTACGTCCGTCCGCACGCCGAGGCGGAGTGGACACCGCGCGGAGGCGGGGGTGGGGTGGAGGGCCGCATGAATCAATGAATGGAATGGTGCATTCTTTGGCTGGCTCTCAAATCGCGCGTCTCTCGCTCGCTCGGTACATCATCCTTCCTACTCATCCCTGGGACATCGGCATCGGCAGTGTGCAGGCTCACCGCCACCTTCCGTCCCGCGGCACCCACATCGCGGTCTGCAGTCTTCTTCGTGCCCTGCCAACCCGCCTGTAGTGCAGCGCTGCTGCTGCTGCTGCTGCTGCATTAGGCGCACGGAGGGTGTGGGGGGCTTTGGGATGCGTTGAGATCCGTCGCTGGTGCTCTTGCTCGCAGCCGAAGCAGCGAGAGAGAGAGATAGATAGAGAGAGAGAGAGAGAGAGAGAGAGAGAGACAGGAATTAACTCCCGCGTGGGGTGCGGTGTCGACCTCGTCGATCAGCATGGCGACTGCTCTGGAGAAAGGATGGCTGGTGCGCCCTCTCTCTCTTTCTCTCTTTCTCGCTCTCGCTTGGTCCATTTTTCTTCTTTGGGTTCTTGACCTGGAGTGTTCTGGAGTTTTTACCAAGGACGGGGTGCCATTGTGGTACCTGCCGGTCGTGGCCCCGTTGCATGCAGGGTGATCTGTAACGCGAGACTGGGTTTGAGTGTATCGGGTGTTGTCGGGCTGTGCGAGGATGTGTGTGTGGGTGGTGGGTCGGTTGTGTAGTTGCATCGATTGCGTGGGTTCTCGGCTACTTCACATCTAAGAGCGTTTTCGTGGCGGAGAGTTTCTGGGTTTTGCGGGAATGGATGCTTTGATTGTGACAATGCGCTGCTCTAATGCTCGTGTTTGAGCTTCGTTGAAAAGAGAAGCCTCCCGCTTTTTTTTCGTTAGTTTATTTGTTCGTTCGCATCCTTTTCCTCCTCTGGGAAACTCGTGACGATGGTATGAAGGAGAGGAGCTTTGTTTCAGCCCCATAAGATCGCCGATATCGATGCTGTGCACCTGCATTGTCTATTTTTTGGGTTTGGACCGCATTCATCATCAGATCTTACCATGCACGGCCGTTCTCTGGGCTATGGTAGAATGTGGGATTTCGGGAGATCAGAAGTCTGTTCATCGAATGGATTTTGGATGTGAACCAGCCAGGTTTGGATTGCATTGGCAAGCTTTAGTGTTCACATTCCACCGTCGATCGTGAGTCTTACTTTATTCAATACGTCTCGTTCCGTACTTATTCCTTTGTCTTACCGCAAGCGACAGATTTCGGACCTTCCTTGTACCTGCTTTATTGAAAGCCTTTAGAAAGATTCAAACTCGATTCTGAGCTTGGTTGATTTCGACGCTGTATGTTGAGGGGTTTTTATTTTTATTTTCATTCGGACTCTAATTTGGATGAAAATATTCTCACATCCCGCTTTAATGTCGGACTCAGTTGTGACGCTATCGGCTCATTATCTGTACGTAGTGAAGTGTGTCGGTAGTACAGGGTTTATTGCGTACTCCTTCGGAAGTGCTGGGTTGCACAAACCTAAGTATTGTAACCACTAAGTAATGCACTTTGAAATGTCTGACGATAAGTTGCACGATAGTTTGGCCCAATTCTATTGAGGAGAGCCTTGACCGAATATTGCCTCATAATCTCCTGATTGGATGGATGTGAAGTTTCGCATGCTGGTGTAGTGTTGGCGGAGTCGTTGGTCGGACATTTAAATGTTATACCCCTGCCTCTATTCATTGATAAATTGCATTATCTTCTGTGGGTTGTCTCTACATTAATTGCCATACCGGTCGTGATGTTCTGCCGATCAAACGTGCCGTCGGAAATGTAACTACTATTTGTGTTGTGGGCCTTGGCCCGAGCCTCTGGATTTGTAGAACTTGGCATAGAATTCTTCTTGGTATGTGGAAGGCCAGACTGACACCTTTGTACGTGTGTTGGTGCAGTACCTAATTAACAACTTCACTGACTTCCAGCTGGCATCTATTGGCAGTTTCATTATTCACGAGAGTGTGTTCTTCCTTTCTGGTCTTCCATTCATTGTTATGGAGAGATTGGGTTACCAAAGGCAGTACAAGATACAGGTATAATGAATGTGGCTAGCGTGTCGTGATCTTGTGCTTTTCAGCAAGTTTCGCTTCTTTCTGTTCACGATCCAGTATAGCTTCCGGAGTGGCTTCATGGCTGAATTCCAACTGGGATACCTGCTCTAATTATTCCTCTGTAACCAATGAACTGCAGGGAAAGGTTAATTCTGTTGCAGCACAGGAGAAGTGTGTTATGAAGCTTTTGATTTATCACATCTGCGTCAATTTGCCTCTAATGATCGTGTCATATCCTGTCTTCAAATACATGGGCTTCACCAGTCAATTACCTCTACCTTCCTGGTGAGCTTATCCAATCTAAAAACGAGTATGACCTCATCCTTTTTTAGTCAGAGTTTTCGTTATTTCTTTGCTCTACTTTTCCTTTCTTCTATGTGAGTTTTGTGACTGAAGCTTAGTTATTTTCACTTTCGAGTCACTGTTTTTGAAACAAAAAATCCGCAGTGTCCGTGTACGCAGCTTATCATTGAACGCTTTCTATGCAGGAATGTAGTGTGCTTTCAGATACTATCTTATTTTATCTTAGAAGATTTCATCTTTTATTGGGGGCACCGTATTCTGCACACCAAGTGGCTCTACAAGCACGTGCACAGCGTTCATCATGAGTGTGTGCTCTCTACTCTGAATTCGAATTCGAATTTCAAAGCTAGTAGTTGTCTGGTGTCCTACATGTGTTCTAATTATTCACCTGCCCTTCGTTATCAGAGTTTGCCACGAAGATCTGGAAACGGGACTTATTTGATGAAAGCTCTGAAATCGCATGTGGTCATTGCATATATTTATTTATCTTCGACGTATTTTATAACTCATACATCAAATCTCTGCATAAGAATGAACTGAAATTTCAACAACTTGTGTACTTGGTGCAGGTATGCGACTCCTTTTGGATTGACATCTGAGTACGCCCATCCTGCAGAGATCCTTTTCCTTGGTTTTGCTACTGTCTTTGGACCAGCCATTACAGGCCCTCATCTCTTAACTCTCTGGATTTGGATGAGCTTGCGAGTAATTGAAACCGTGGAAGCCCATTGCGGCTACGATTTCCCATGGAGTCTCTCCAGATACTTGCCAATCTACGGAGGGTATGTTCAATCCGATGTTCCATTATTCCCATAATTTATTCTGAAGATCTCAACATGGAACGCTTCTTGTTTTTCTAATAATTTCCTACGCGGATTGTACTAACTCGCTGTTCTGGATGTCGTGAAACAGTGCTGATTTTCATGATTATCACCACCGTCTTCTCTACACCAAGTCTGGGAATTACTCATCGACGTTCACATACATGGATTGGTAAGTTTGTGTCGAGAAGCCCCCAGATCCAGGGCGACCAGTGCTTCTAATTTTTTGTTTTTATTTTATTTTTAAAATCTTTGTTAATTACTCACGAATCGTCACATCTGATTCAATTAATTTTTGTAGGCACTAAACTTTCTTTCTTTAGATACTTCTGGAGTAAGCGAATGAACGATTTCTGCATGTTATTCTACAAGTTAGAAGTTGTGATAGTGATCGATACCCTGAAGCAGTATCTTCAATGAATGCCTATGTGGGAATCAAAATATTAGAGAAGACTTCTATGATTACTGTGTGGAATATGCCAAGCGGCAGTAACCTAAGAATGGCTTTCGAAGGGGATAGATACCAAGGTTCTACTATGGTCCTTTGTGGGGGGACCAGGCCGGATTCAGTAAGCCAGTGGGTTTCCTTATTCCAGGATTTTCGGCACAGACAAGGGATATCGGAAGCTGAAGGCTTTGAAGGCCGCTGAGCACCAATACGAGTACGTGGAGGAGAAGGTCCCGAAGGCAGACTGATCTGAAGCGTGGATGTAGTTAGTGAATTGTCCCTGTAACTCTTTGAATTAGCAGTGAAGGAAATGGTGAGACCTAGGTGGATTTCTAGAGCCTTGTATCCTGTTGTCCGTGCCTGACCGTCCGTTGCGGTCACGGGTCGTCTGTATATGGGAGTGAAGAAACACCAGCGACTGGGGCAGGAAAAATCAGACCCACTAGTTGTTGGTGTTACAAAGGCCATTGTAGAGTAGAAGAGATGGGAGAATGCTAGGGAGAAGTCATTTTTTTGAAAGCTGAATCGCCTGAAGATGTTTGAAGTTGAACAGAAAAAAACTTGCCAGTTCGCATGTTTGTAACTATAGCTTGGACTCGCTCAAATGAACTGGTTCACACAAGAATAAATGTTCAGATGTTAGTACCTATTTTAGTGTGTTTGTTTGTTTGTACTAGTTGGGTTGTTATTTTCCTCCTGGAGGCAGTTTCCACAGCACCGCTTGTGCTCTTCTTCAATTCTGCCTTCACTCAACTACAACGATCTGCTTCTTTCATCCCCTTCACACTCGTAGAAACTCCGAAGCTGCTACGTAGTCGACAAGAAAACCCCATAGATCTTGAACCTCACGGATTTGTGATCATTTTTTTTTTTATCATTTTTAAGCAAAAAATTAAATTTACTTGAGGGAAACCGCGACATAAGATAGAATCGCATGGTAATCTACATAAGATGTAATTGCGAAGACTCATCAGATTCGTGACTGCACAACTGTGAATAGTACACTTGACACAAGCTTCGTTGTGTGAATGTAGAGCTGGGAAACTCGCATGTGAAAAGTAACGAATTTGTGCGAGAGTGAATGAATTTTTTATAAGTACTTGATGAGGGTTCAAAGAATGATTAATGACACTATGGTAATATTTGCATTAGCTCAGCATAAACATCGAACTTTGGCGATATTTTTAGGTGTTCCTCTTATTACTTTTGAGAAATCCCAATGATCACTTCACATGCCACATCAATTACTTATTACAATTTAACTATCTTGAAACGAAGTAACGGAAAAAGGAACTATGTATTAAGTATCCAAATCATCAGAACGGCAAGACGTGTATTTTATATCTTTATATTTCGTGTACAGCTGTGATATTATTTTATTTATACATATTTAGTTTATTTATTTATTCGTACTAATATAAAATCAATGTTTTGAAACAAACATCTAAAGTAACAGTAAGCGCAGAGACTCATGCTCAATTTTTTTATAAATTAGTCTTGTTGGAGCTCTCTTGAATGGAGAATCAAAGAATGCTAGCAAAGCCTTGGAGGAAATATATATATATATATATATATATATAATCTAAAGTTCAGAAATAGTTTATATTAGTGTAAGTTTGAAAGTCCAGAGTGTCCATGATAACAAACTTTACAGCACAGTATTTTATTCTGGCCCTTCACGCTCTGCTTAGAAATGCTGTACAAACATCCTACATTGATAATAGTAATAACAATAAGTTGAGCCCATTAATATATTTATACATGTGTGTGTGTGTGGTGTATTCAATGAAAGAATGAAAACAAGAGAAAGCCATTAATTTGACATGCCATTTCAGTAGTAACCCGAATTGTTGAGGAATATTTTTTCTCCCCTTCACACCACCCACAAGCTCAAAGAGATATATTACCAAGTAAGGACAACTGAAAACAAGCATCAATGGTAAAAATAGGGTTTACAAGAACATAGAATAGCTAGCCTTTTTCAGGCTCCTTTTTTTTATTTGGTTTAAAAAAAGAAACTCAAACAAAAGATGATCTGGCCCTACACAAGTTCTCCAAAAGAATGGCCTATATTGCAAGCCTACTTTTAACTTTCAGTAACATCAACTTTTGGTCACTTGCTTTTCTTCAACACAATGATAAGGATGGTGAAAACCTAGACTTCCCTTTGACCAACTTGATGATTGCATGTGTTATATATATATATATATATATATATATATTAAAAAATAAAATTAAAGGGAAGACTAAGGCATAAGACCAACCACCAACCTTCTATAAAAAATCCAATAAAAGTGAAAAAGTAAAAATAATTGGCAAGATATATTATTGATGGTTTAGTAACCGGACGCTCAAAGCATGAGAAGATAAAAGGGAAAATAGTAAAGGTTCAAAAAGTAGAGATGAAAATAGGTGGGCATTTGTATGTTAAATTGTGAGGCTCTTCACGCAAGATCTTGGACTTACAAGCAATTGCCTTAGAAATAGGTGTCCCAATTGGAATATGATAAGGAGCATAATAATAATAAGAATACCTCCAAAGTGGCATGGTCCAAAACCTAAATCCACATGCATTTGTATGAGTAACAAGAACACAAAGAAGGGCATCTGTGACCATGGATGGCCATTTAGGGTTTTCTAAAAATGTGAAGCACCCTTTCCTTTTATCCTTGAAATTCTTGCACTTAATACTCTCTTGATTGTGTTTATTTTTAATTTATGGCAATGACGTGGATGTGGTGATGCACTTATGTGTGTGGAATAGTTGAAGGATATCAACCAAGTATATTTAAGTTTTATTTTATTAATAAAGCAATTTTGAAAATAATCACATGAAGGATGAAAATTTATCAAGACATGAGGATTGGTGGTTGTAGAAGTTAATAATAGTCTAATATATAATATGAATATTGTAAGCAAGAATGTTTGGAAAAACTCAAAAAAGCTTCAAGATTATTAACTTAAGAAGTTTCTTAACACCTAGTTTATATGTGTATATATATATATATATATATATATATGTGAAGCAATAGGTGCAGGCTTTGGCACCACTAGCTAGACATAATTTCATTTCATCTGATGTACTTGGACATGAAGCACCTAAAGTTTTAAATTTAAAGTGTGAAATAATCAAAATATTTGCACTTGGTCTACTCAAACTTGGACCAATACGTTGGTTTAATGCACAAAAAGGTCAGAAGTGTTGTTGTAAAAGATTGACTTTTTAAGCATCACGTTATGTTTTCCCTTCAACTTTTTGAGAGTAGAAAAAGGAATCATTTAAGTCTCACCTTCATTCACAGAATTATTTATCAATAAATATATCGTTAATAATTTATAAATATATAAATGTATCGTTAATACGAAATTCAGGAAACGAGGAAAATAACCAACATTATGTTACGTGATGTAATTTTGAGTAAAGTCTTCTTAAATATTTAATTGTGACAAAATTTAACATTAGTAACTCCAATTAACCCAATTGAAAAGCATTCCCATTTCGTTTCATATAATTATAATATTTAATTATCAGAGTTATTCAAACATCAAGTCTCTTGTCCTTCCACTCTACACTACAGTTTTCCCAGATAGATATGCATATTGCATGATTTTAGGGCAGTATTCAACATAATATGTGTATATATAAATATATATATATATATGTAGGCTTCTGATATAAAATTCTATAACAATGCTAACATTGTTTGTGATAAAATCATCCGTCCATACTAACAGAAGAATGCATTCATCCTGATAAGGACTCAGCGTATAATGGGTGTATAATGTGTTTATTAAACACCATGTGACGTCATCAGTCCTTCACTTTTATAACTTCCCTTTATAAATAGTGTTTGTTTTATCTTCATCTTACATGGTGGGCTCTTCCATGAATTAAACTTGCTCCATGTGCATTCATAGCCAGCCTTATCCATATTTGATATATATAGATATAGATATAGATATACACAAACACATGTAAAGCTTATTTTTAATATATTCACTTCTTAATAGAGCCAATTCCACTGTTACCGCGATTGGACAATCGTTTGAGGATCAATCAAAGCCAATTCCCATTTCGACAGCACAGAAAAATCAGTTCCATTGCATCTAAAGCCCAACTTCTTTTCACAAACTCCAGTTTTATTTATTCATTTTTACAGATTTCAAGAAATTAAATGCCCATGGAAAGTACAACATTGTGCACACTACTTACATTAATCAAAAACGATAACCCCTCTCCCAAAAATAAATATAATAAAGCTAGATGCTAAAGTTAAACAATATGTATGTATAAAATCCTGTTTCTTACAACTTTTCCCCGACATGGTCCTTTGGAGCTGTTTTTTGTAAAAATCATTGCTACACGCATTAAATGGACCAAGTGCGTGATGCTCCAAGATTTTCTCATGGGGCATTAATTCATAACATTCCAACGATTTATTGTTGGTTTACTAAACCCAATTTGAAGACGAGTTTTTTGTACGAATCGAGAAACATTAAGGAACTGAAAAATCTAGTTCCTTAAAACACATGAAACCCTATATACTCGGAGCACAGAAGCCCTAATTCCTTCGAAAACACGTAAACCCTAAATTCTCCGAACGAGGTGTCGCAGCTCAAGCGCAAGGTCACGAGAGCCAAGTTGGTGGGTTTCAGAGCTCCCAGAGTCGCAATGCTACTCAAGGGCGAAGCGAGCGACGGGATTGAGCGACGAAGAAACCCTCGGAATGGTCAACCGGAAATTCCACCTCTGGGAGGAGATTGCAATGAAGCGGAGAAGAGAAGCTAGCGGATCAAGAGAGAGAGAGATGCATTTCAGGTCGCCGTTTGTTGATACCATGTCTCCCGTTCACGTCGAGATACCTCCGGAATAGAGATAAGCTGGCAATATGGGGGGAGGAGGGGGTTTTCCGATACCGTTCCCTCCAGCGGGGTGAATCTATTGCAGACCGTGACGGGAAAGCTGCGAGCGCCCCCACTGCAACTACTCCCCCATGCTTCATCTTCGCGAAGCCACTCGAGGCAGGGCCGCCCACTATAAGTATCCGGCGCGCTGCGATGATGCCGCAGCAGCGGTTGCGAGCTGGCTGCTGTCTTGGATTGGAGTTAACGCCCAGCCTCACGCTCTATGATCTCAGTCGGATTGCGGTGAGATCCCCGTTGTACGATTCATCGTCTTCTAGCCTCAAATCTAGGGATCGATCGCCTCCGATCCCTCCGCGGCTCGGCACGCGTGGATGAATGAACAAATTGGATTAATCCCTCTCTCTGTAGATTCTGTACATCTCTCTTTCTCATCCAGTGTATTTTCACACATGGAATTAGTTTGCATTTTTTAATATCTATATATGCTTGCTTAGATATTCCTATATTCACATTTTGGGTTATAAATAGACAATGTTATGGACGTATCTTTTTCAGGACTTTATATTTTATATTTTAGTTTTGTAGATTGGAATTATTTTAAAAAGAATGTATTTGTGTGCAATCTTTTTTTGGCATTTTGGAGATGTTGAAAGATTGGCAATCGTTGCAATTCGATTGAATTGGGATAAAAAATTTCCATCATTGTGAGGGGAAAAAAAAAAAAAAAAAAAAAAACAGTTATCCGTGGCACCGTGAAGCGCAATCGCACATCGAGATATGCAGTGTACTTGGAACAATCTGGAGCGTACATGTCGCAAGTGCCGATTGATGGAAACTCAGATTCTGTTCCAAAAAACTACAACGGAATTCACGGAAGAGGAGGAGGAAGCCTAACATTCCTGCAACAGTGAAGTCATAGCAACAGGGTGAGGATGGGGGCTCTTCCAACTGTGTCTAGTAAAGAAGCAGAAGAAGAAGAAGAAGCGGAAAAAAAGATAACGCTGAGGGAAAACCGCCTCTAAAGCGGCCTCTGAGCAGATCAAAACGGTGGCCTGCTGTAGAAAAATCTGGCATCATTCCACCCCACATGTTGCAGTAGCAGGGCATAAAATTCCAACGTCCCATAATCGGATGACCTCACCGGATCCTGTCAATCGCCGGAGTCCCGGAACTGCATCTCTGGCACAAACAAATAATATAATCTCGGGAAAAAAAAAAAACGAAAAACCGCACCGGTTCGTCAACGGGGCCCAACTTGCAGGATCCCAAGCCTAGCATTCCCTCTACAGTGTGTGTTTGTGCATATATATAATGTATATGCGTTTGTGTGAGATATATTCGTAGGTGTATATAAGTCTACTGGAATCACTGTAGCGATATACACTGTAACAAAAACATGGGCCCAGTTGTGAGTTTTGCTGAATGCTACAAACTGTTGGCAAGTTGAGGGTAAAAATAGAAGTGCGAGATGGTTAGTGCACTGTGCGCTGACCCGCTCCCTCCTGCCGGGCTTCTCGCCAAGCCTTTCACACACTTGCCGAGTGGAAATATACCTGTGTCGAGTTCTAAGTTCCTTGACCTTGTCGTTGGAGAGTGGGGTAGTCGTGGAGGCTAGTTCCACTTTGCGGTTTTCGTTTCATAGTTGGGTCCCCGGGGCGTGATTGGGCTCAGTACCGACAAAGCGGATTCTGGAAGTATCGGTGTCTGGACTAGCGCACGATGAAGCTGTGGAGGGGTTTGGTGCTGGTGGTGGCCTAGCACTGGAGTGTTGGGGGCGAGTATTAGGATATTTTTCCGTATTGGTATTGATTTTCTCATTCTTGTAGTTAGTGTGTGTGTGTGTGAGTGTGTGTGTTTGTTTGCTTTTTTAGTTCGAGACACTGGTTGTTGCTTGAAAGACATGGTGTCGCTGAGAGGTAGTGGTCGACAGGGACTAAAAGCATTTGTGTTAAGTCTGATTTCTGACTGCACTGTGTATCACAGTAATTGTGTTTATTATTATTTTTTGGTCGCTCCAGCTTGTGAAGGAGCTCGTTTTGTTAGGCATCAGGACTTAATGATGCTGGATTTCAGACGTTACATTGTGTGAATGCTGCATTCTGGAGCACGGAATTTAGATAGCTGAATCTGGGAGAATTTTTCGTTTGTCTTCAAATCCATTCGTGCGCTCTATTAGACTCGTCTGTCTGTAATCGAGAAGCAACTAAATATATACTTGGTGTAGTGATCATTTGACGTAGACTGGTAACGGTATCTTTTAAATTTAAGTTGTTTTAGCACAGATATATATATATATATATATATATATATATACATACATAATATTTTGAGGGTCATTCAGGCTTTTTATTTTTATTTTCATAGATTCTGTCAAAGTTCTTTTTTTTTTTTTTTTTTTTTTTTTTGGTTTGTTTCGTGGCATGATATCGCTTGCCGAACCCGACGCGGATGTTGACGTTTACTGGTTATTGCAGCACCCTGTACCAAGATCATCCAAACCGTCACGTCCTCAGTCTAAGGAGGTTGCAACTTACAAGTCTTGTGAATGATTTGGTGCACGATGAGTGCGTGTGGGTGGAGGATGGGCCAAATTTCTTCAATGTGCCCTGGGAGGTTACGCAGCGACAACCGTAGGCATGGACTCGGAGACAACAGGTTCCAGGGGATATACGGCTTGCCCGAACCACTTGCAGAAACTCTGGGAATATTGTTGTAGCAGCAGACCCCGCCCACCCGCTTATGCCGCATCAGGCTACTAGATTGGCATCTTGCAATCGGGGTGTGTATACGAGTCTTTCAACAAGATGGCAGACGGGGACTTAGCCTCGATCTTCCGCCAGCATACTCAGCCAGTTTCGGATCCTTGGGGGGTCGCCGTCCCGCAGCACCAGCTTTCCCACTTTCAACAGATGCCGCAGACGTTGCAGGACACCGACAATGTGCGGTGGGATTACCCGAACTCATTGTCGCCGCAATCTCCGTTCGATATCCAGGATCACAACTCAAATTTTAGCACTAGAATGTTGCAGTCGAAGGTAGGATCGTACAACCACAGTTACTCTTCTCTCCGCCCCTCGACAATTCCTCCGCAAAGCCACCTTCAGTTCTCTACAATATCTCCGCAACTGGTGGAACCTGTTCAGTCGCTGCAATCGCAGACGCTCTCTGGTAACAAGCGGGACTTCCAGGGGTCGAGTTTTCAGGTGCAAAATAAGCAGCCTACTCGGAGTGCCGGGAGAAACATATACAGCGAGGTTGTTACAAGTACCTCTCCAGTTGGGCAGGAGAATCTGGTCACCGTGAGTCATCACCAGTCTCAATTTTCTGGGAACAATTATAATATCAGTCATGGTCAGCCGTCGACGTGGCCGACAGCCCCAACGGGCTGCAAAGTCGGCGAGCTCGCCACGGAGTTACAACCTGAGATACTGGGAGATTTACGACCGGGACCGGGGTATCTCGCAGATCATTACCCTGGGCGTTTGCTGCAGAGTGGTCAAGCTTACAACCAGAATCAAAACCTGGGACCTCAAGGAAACCCTAATGATTTGCCGTCCGGATCTGGGACTTTGTCGTCGTCGTTGCAGCAGAATTTCCCTGGTGATGACGGAATGATCAGAGTTCTTGACACGGCTTGTAGTAGACGGAATCAGCAAACTTCTGCAACTGGATTACAGCTCGTGCACCTCTTGCTCTTATGCGCCGAAGCCATTTCCAACCAGCAGATGGACCTGGCACATGTGGTGTTGACGCGGCTCAATGCGATGCTGGTTCCTTGCACTTCTACCATGCAGCGTCTCGCCGCTGTGTTTGTGGATGCCCTTCATGCGAGGATCACGAATTCGGCCACTACTGGACGTTACAAGGGGCTGGAGAGGGATAACGATGTTGCAATCCTGGATATGTTGCAGTCTTTCAGTGTGATTTACGACCATACCCCTTTCATAAAACTCCCGCACCTGACGTTGAATCAGATTATTCTCGACGCGGTCGAAGGCGAGCCTCATGTCCACGTGATAGATCTGAACACGGGATGGCGGGGTATGCAGTGGCCAGGTTTCATTCAAGCTCTAGCGTTGCGGCCCGGGGGGCCGCCCAAGCTAAGGATCACCGCCATTGGAAAAGCCGATGACCTCGAGCATTCTAGGGAGAAGCTGCAGGATTACGCTCGCCATTTGCAGGTGCCCTTTGAGTTCTGCCCGCTCGTTGTGGACATGAAGTCCTTCGACGTGCGCTTGTTGGATATGCGAGACTGGGAAGTGGTCTGCATCAACAGCGCCAACCAGTTCCACCAGCTGCTGATCTGGGGGGACGAGTGCTTTCATAAATTCTTGTGCGATCTGAAGTCGCTGAATCCCCGAGTGCTAGCATTCACAGAAAACGATGCGGATCATAACAGCCCCAAGTTCCTCAACCGCTTCTTCGAGTGCTTGCGTTACTACTCCGCAGTCTACGATGCTCTGGACTCCTCTCTTCCCAACGGTTCCGCAGCTCTCCAACAAGTGGAGCATCTCTTCACTGGGCAAAAGATTCGCAATATCGTGGCTATGGAGGGCGAAGATCGGATAACTCGGCATGAAAGTTTAACTAGTTGGTCCCGGCGGATGGAAATGGCGGGATTCCGGCCTGTACCCGTTAGCAGCCGGGCCATCAGCCAGGCAGGGCTGCTGCTCCGCATGTATTTTGCTCAGAGCGGTTACACTCTGCGAACAGAAAATGGCAATGTGTCCCTTGGTTGGGACAACATGTCACTGGTGGGCGCAAGCGCTTGGCGGGCGTGAATATTCATGCTGAGATCGACTGCCTGCTCTCAGTGTACATAAGTCAAATCGAAATATTTCCTTTCCTGGTAGCCAAGTACTTAGACGCTTAAGTTTGTGGCTTTCTGATCCATCCCGATCCGGGGGCGAGCTTTCGAGGTGCTTTGGTTATTGAATTGTGGACGGTGATGCACCCGTTGCCATGAATTACACAACACGAGAGAGAAATCAGATACGAATTTTTATATTTAATTTGTACAGTTTACATTGCTGCAACTGTGCATACTGCGAGTCCTGATCGCCACTTAGCTTCAGAAGTCACTGTGATGCTGGTCTTTGGGGTCGTGTTGATTAGTTTGTTGACACGACCTCGGTTGTAAGTCTATCGATCAGAACTCCTAGCTAGTTCAGAGGATCTTGTTGCAGACGTTTTGTATCCATTTAGCTTGTTTCATAGTGGTGTCGATTGATCGATACACCGCATTGCCCTGCTGTCATTCGACCTTCGCACCTTGCCCCAAGCTGCAACTAATCTCTGATCTTTTATGTTTATTTGGAAAAAAAAGCTAGGTCACAATCTTCTAGCTATCTACATTAGCCTGTGAGCCGCATACGTTTATGTCGCTCACAGTGTGAATGTGAGCCTCTTCCACCTATTAGATGATAGATAGGACTGGGCTTGTTTTCATATACAGGGTTGTCGACGTCAAGAGATGGTACGAATCTAAGAGCTGAGATTCTTGGATCAGTGAAGTTTTTTCTATGACATGTCGACCTGTCCCCACATGTGGGATCGGTGTCATTTTACAGCATAAACCTACAAGTGTCAGACACTCCACTCCTTGGAGCCGATGAATCGCCACTGCTAACACACTTTTGTCCCGCACAGGGACCCATAATTTACCCCGGACCATTCATCAGAATAAGATTGTCCCATGCGCATTGTAGATTGAGCGGATCCATCTTTCTCTGGGATTTTCAACAGTAGCATCCAGCACTGTAGGTCCCGATCACCTCTCACTCCGACTAGTTTTTATTTTACCAGGGCGTCTCCTCCTCCTTCGTTAAAAAGCAGAAGAATTCATTGCGCACTATTGGCTGATTGTGGGCAGGCGAACCAGGTACAACCGATTGCAAATGGCCATGCAAGCATCTGGCAGCCCCATCATCATGGCAACCATATCCTCGAATGCTTGAGCGCGAGCCTCGAGGCGGGCACCCAAGCCCACTCCCCGAACACCCGACATCATTGCTATTAAGTTCCATCTCGTCACTGTGTTTCTGTATCTTTCATGTGCGCACACCGGATGTAGCGCCGTTAGCATGCACAGCTGTATCTTTTCTGGCTTTTCCTAGAGTATGAATTTCAGTTGCTATCTACTACCCTAGTATTTAATTTCACCGAATGTGAAAAGGGTAGTGGATCCCTCGTCCTTGGCCAGTGGGTCCTCCTCTCTGCTAAGTTGACGGATAGATCATTTGCTGTTTCCTATTCGGTGCTGGTGTCCAGGAGGATCTGCGGGCTCAGATTATGGTCCAGCCGAGGGGGTGAAGGTCATGCGACGCAAGTTGCAAAAGGCTAAGGAAAGAAGCACTAACCACCATCGGCTGTGATGGAAAGTGTACAGGCCGTCGATGTGAGCAGGAGAGGATCCGGAGCCCACTGTACCAACAGTCCCCTCCATTATCTACACTTTCCTCGACACTTGAAGTCCTCCCGTTGGCTATGTGGATTGTGTCGTGGCCTTATTTTGACGTGGTCCTTGTAATCACGTTAAAGAGCCGATGAACAGCTTGTGAGAACGGGATCCAGTACTGGTTGAGAAAACTTTCTCTATTTTTGTGAATTCGTTTTCATGCACAGACATCTCCCACACCTTGGGGGGGTCACCGTTTTCCTACAATTAGTCCTGCCACTTAATCCAGGCATGCGCATACTTCCAGAACAGTTTGCAAATCAGGTATGCGCATACCTGGATTTGTAAGTTCGGGAAGTTTGATTTGCAAACTGAAATAAAAATCTCTTACAACTCCACAAAAACACTTACCCAGAATGCCGAAACTTGTTCATCTGAAATCAGCGGTAAAAACTTCAAACATTCATAGCTTCTTCAACACATCCTCCAGCTGAACCCAAAAACATAACTATTATAAAGCTGATGAGATAGGTCAGTGCGCATTTATATTTGTCCATTTCCTTATTTTAATCAGCTCTACTATAACAACTTTTTAAAAAAATTAAAATCTTCAACGAATCCAAGTTAAAATACTTATTATTTTTCTTTCAGTTTGTGACGTGTTTTCAGTGCATTACATGAAATCAACGTTTGAACAGGTAGATATCAACGGAAGAGATGTAAATGATGTGGGGATTAGAAGGTTACTCTCAGAAATGATACCGAACATTTGATGAGTCGGTTGAGATGTCTGTGTTGGGTGTTCGGAGTTGGTAAGACGCTGCATCAGCCCCACTGTTGCATAGATGTGTAGAATAGCGGCCCGTGGCTGAATCTATAAATAGAACGATAAGTGGGTCCCATGGTTTTAATCGGGTTGGTGTTCGGTCCGCAAGGAGTGGGCATGGGATAGAGGTTGATGGCTGCGGCCGAATCTACCGCTTCATCAGCACCGGCATGACCGTTATTTTACAACCGTCAGGGCCACGCATGGCGACCGCTTTCATGATTCAATCAACTAGTGCACACTCAATTCTTTCCTATGTTGTTCAATCGCTACTAATTTTGGGACAATCGATTGCTATGTGGAAAGTACGAAAAGAAAAGCGGTTTCATTTATTAGCGGCGTGGGTCGATGCCATCACGTTTGCGTGTCCCAGCTGCGTCCATCTAGAACACGTCGGTGAGCACATTCAACGTAGTAAGCTAATTTTTTTTTGTTTGGAAAGGTTTTGTGAGTGACTATGATTAGATTGTCGTTGGAGGAACTATTTTGGAGATGGTGTGCGATGACCCGAGGCGATGAGTGTATTTGGTTTCGCACAGTTTGCGAAGGTCCGGAAGGATTTAGCGGTGAATTTGCAGGATCGTTGTGCTAAAGTTGCGTCGTCTTCTGGTTCCTCTTGTTTTTTTGTTCTATCATGGAAATTTGTTGATGTTTCTTGGAGCTGCAGTTTCTGTTTTAGATCGGCGCAGCCCATCTCTTGGAGTGTTTATATTCTCAACTCAGCTGAGTTTGAACAAGGACCACATTTTTCTATTCAGCCCTGAACATTGGGATACCGTATCTAGGGGAGAGGAAGAAGCATTTCTCACCTAAATTTCGCCTTCGTTTTTCTCTCCGTGCAGCCACAGCAGCCCATCACTTCTTTTCGATAATTCCAAGTTACTAGAGTTGGTTGTTGAGTTTTTCTTTTATTGTAGTTTTAAAAGTGCACCGAATTCGCAGTTTAATTGCTGAGTAAGCCGTGCCTCTGTTGTGATTAGGGAGGGTCAGGGTTGGAGTGTCCTATAACCTCTGACACAGCCCACGGAGATGTATAACCGGCGTGGAAGATCATTAATAACGTGCATTCATACGTCGTGATATGGCACGAGGTGATTGAAACGGCGGATGTTTCGTTCGGAGATGCCACCAAAGAGGAATTCGTCCACCACGTCTTTCCCCTCAATGATGAAGTGATCACGAATTTTAAGCATATTTTTCTGGTATTAACCACATCCATTATAATGGTTTTGTAAATTTATAGATCATACACGTCTCGTCTTGTAGCACCGAGAAGAGAAGTGAAGAGAAGATCAAGAGGCTCACTGTGGGTGAGAATCTCGGTGACGTTGAAAGAGCCTGTTTCTTCGTTTGCTTCAAACTTGCATCCAGTGAGTGCTTGTATTTACTCTGTTGTGTAAGAAGATCGATCTAAAACCCCGGGACAGTGTCAACTTTTGCTCTCGAATGTGTCGAGCTTTGAATTTGTAAGCACCCTTGGTTCAATAACATGCGGTCTAAGCATTCTGTTCTTTGCTGGTTTTCTGCAGCTACAACAATGCTTCGTCGTTGGGAAGTTACCCTCAGTCCTAGAGTACGGAGAAAAAGCACCTTGGTATTGGAACCAGGGTTTGGTTTGAGACAGTGGATCTCGAATCGGTTCTAAAATTGTAATCTAAAACTCCGCAACTGCTGCAGATTCAAGCAGCGGGAGGCCCTTACCACGATGTTGGAAGGTGTATCCTTGTCGAAAGAGGTGAGCACCAATTCCGATACCAAGTACCTGTTTTACATTGTGGTCTCCGTGTTGTTTCATAAACTGTGGTGAGTGACTGGGGAAGTGATTGTAGAGAAGTTGGAATCTATCATTCTTTCATATGATAAGGAGTATTTGCGCCTCTGAAATATGGAATCCTGGCTGGGGATCACCTGGAATCCGCCTAACTCAAGGTTTCGTCCTTCCTCCGTTTGTGCGCTCCTCAATCTCCCTTGCTCAGCACATGGCCTAAGTTGGTCAAGCTCGTCAGACTAGTCAATGCCATACCTAAATTTATCCAACATTTTCTTTCTGCTGGCTCAAGGGTTTTAGCAACGGTGCTTTCGACGCAATCTTGTAGCAACTGCTGTGTAGGTTATTTTGAATTAAGTATTGCATGTGAAAGATATGAAACAATCAAGTGTTAATGTGATGAAGCAAATGTAGTTATGCATGTCTGTCTTGCTCACTTACCTGGGGACATTATCGTGAAGTTCAGCCAAGTACTCAAAAATATATTAACCAATCTGCTCGATTTAGGATATGTTGTAATGCCCTCAATCAGGAGAAGCTTGCACGCATTATTTTATTCGTTCTTGTTAGAATACCACCCTTTATAGTAATCGGTCTCTGAGTTAATTTGATTTATCCACATAGAAATTCTCAGCGCCCTATTCAGTGTGTTGAATATCCGATTTGTATGCATTTGATGTTCAAATTGGCATGGCTTGTCTAGCAGGCCTCAAGTAAAACGTATTCATTGCTCGGACGACCCAGTCTTTCTGGGATTGTGTGATTGGTGCAGCTGTGCGATTACAACTTCTCAGTTGTCCTGAAGACAATCGGTGCACACAAATACTCGTTACTTCTGCACACCATCTACCTCCAAGACATTTAGGTATGTCTCCACTTATCCTCTGCACCGCAGCTGCCTGCTTACATGAGGTTGATATTCTCTTCTTGTTCGTTAACACAATACTTTTATCACAATAGTGTCATGTATCTGGTGCCTTAGTCCACTGAAGGAACTCTCCATGCGTCGTACAGAGTCTTGACAATTTATGCTCGAGAAAATCATCACATGATCAAATAGCACACTCAAGTAGCAGTTCTGCAACTTCTATCGAGTAGGGCCAGAATGAGGCTGGCCCCGTGAGATTATTCAATGCTAGAGGACTCTAATCAGGACCAAGTCAGAATTGGGTACAAGTGAATATTCATCCTCCATTTCATTCGATGAAGCAGCAACAACTTATGCGCCTTCCTTGGGTAGCAATTCCTTTTGCAAATAGCGAGGCAGTCTCACCCTTGGGCTGAAGTCTCCCGAGGCCAGTTCCCCATCGCCAAGGAAACCTTCTTGCGTACGTTCCTCCTCTAGCCCCGTCCCCGATGGCACACCTATCTGAAATGGCAAGATGCATGGAAGGAACAGTCCCAAGCGCTGAAACCCAAGTTGTGAGCAATAAAACTCTCAACCATTAGATGTTTGCGGTTGACGGTTGCAGCATTTCTCTGAAAGTTGGCCATTTTTTTTAATCTGCTCTTCCCTTTTCTTTTGTTGGGACTGTGGCTGCTTTCTTGTACAGATATTGTTCGTCTTCAATGCCCAACTGGATTCATTGTTTCACTTTGTTTTGACTATCCTTGCATGCTCTTACCCAACTAATCAGCTGAAAGGTAAGAGTGGAGGTTTGAGGCTTCAGCTGACTTTTGGGTGAGGATCGCTTTCAGATGGCAGCGGGAACATCGAGACGGGACCGTTTTTTTGAGGCTAGTGTTAGTTTCTTCGTTGCGCTTTTAACTTTGCACAGCCTCAGGTCAGTATTACGCTTATGCTCAGGTTTCCACTCCATAGTGATGGTGATGCAACGTCAACGCGATCAGGCAAGTTATCGTTTCTAATATCAGTCGACACATAGCAGATCAGGTTCAGAGTAGACAATATATGAATGTTCCGTATGTTGTCTACCTGGTACACATTTAAATGGTGCATGAAAAATCGAGATGAATTTAACTTTCCCTAAGATATATTCATTTAATACATCAATTTACGGTACGCAAATTAGTGGAATATTTCATGCATTGGAACATAACCATGATGAGAAAAAATATTGTGCTAGTGGGCAGAATAGCGATTGCGGTTGTATAAGTCCAGATTGTCTGGCACTGTTACATCAACTTATGTACATTGATACTTCATTACGTTAACATGTCGATTGAAGATTGCGCATGCTATGTGCCTACTCATCACCGGCAATTATCACCGCCTCAGAGTTTCCACCGCAGTCCTCATTCATTTTCTAAATCTACAATAGGCGCATTTTCTAAATCTACAATCACATATACTGGTACAATTATGGACAATTTCTAACCTAATTGTTCTAGCTCCGATTGGTATTTGATTAGCCACTAGCAAGTCCAAGCAGATACGCCAATCACGGGAGTTTCTTGCCACCCTAAAATCAGGGATGTCGATTCCTGCGACAGTTTGTAAGGCATTGTAGCGTTTGCTTGCTGCATAGGCTTCGATGTCAAAACTTCCAGCAACATCTGCGCTTGCTGCACAGTATACGAACTGAAAGCCATGGACAGAAATCCTGCTTTCGCAAACAAGCCCCGCCATGTCTCCGACCGCACATGTCTCACACGCCGCCTATTTCCCTTGAAAGCAACAATCTCCTTGATCTCAGCAGCGAGTGCTGTACTCTCAATATGGTATCTATCCGCACTGTCGCGACCTAGAGCTCCCTCCAAGGAATCAAACAGGGCGCAGTAATAGTGCAGCGCCTCGACAAACCTCGCAATGAACGAGGCGCCATTATGATTGGCCTCGGCCTCCAACAGTGTCACCACATTCGGTTTCAGGTTGTGGAACATGCTGAGCAATTTATCTAAAACAGCTTCTTCTCCGGAAAGCGTATGCAACACTTGGGAGCAATTGATGGCCAAATCCTCCTCTGACCGAATGTCCAACATCGCCGCGGTGAGATTCTCCAAGCTCGAGAGCACTGGAGTGAACTCGAAGGGCACCTTGAGAGCTTCGGCAAATTCGGACAGCCGTCGCTTGGTTGTCTGCAAATTCTCGGCATTCGTTCCGATGGCCGAAATTCTGAGATGAGGAGCACCCCCTGGTCGCATGGCCAAGGACTGTATGAAGCACGGCCACTGCAGCCCTAGTTGGATGTCCAAATCAACCACATGAACGTTCTGACTCCTCACAACCGCCTCGTAAATGGTTTGGTTCGCCGTAACATGTGAAAATTTCGCGAAAGGAAGCACTTTGTAGAAGGCTTGGTACGCGAGCTTGGAATCCGAAAGCAAGTGAGTTTCACTGGGGCTGACAACCCCGGCAAGATGATCAGTGAGGGCTTCACCGAAGTAAAGGGCGATTCGTTGCATGGGGTCACCATATGGGTCGGAGGATCGGAGTAACTGGTCTAAGATAGGCTTTGCTTTGTTGAAGTCAGACTTTTCAATCGCTTCAGCGCACGCTAACAACATATGAACCAGCTGCAATCCGCTGTCCTCCGGATGCTGCAAGGTTTGCAGTTTGCTCGTCGACCCCCAGCTCTCAGATCGGCTATGGTGGTGGTGGTGTTTCGTGTCAACACCTCCGTGTCTTCGCAAGTCAGAGCAAGGCAGTGATTCGACGAGCCTCGCAAGCTCGACTGTTGTCGGTACGCTACTCCCCGAGTCTGAACCGCTCGATCGAACCTCACTCAACATTGACGAGAGCGAGTCGTCTAACTCTTGCAGCCTCTTTGCGTCGTGAAAGCTCTCTGGAAGAAGAAGATTCTCATCAGGATCCCCGAGAAACTCGGATAAGAGACTCACAGAGTAGCCATGCTCGGTCACAACGCTACAATGGTCCAAGCTCGTAAGCTCGAAGCCGAAGTCCAGATCTGTGCTGGCGAAGTCGATGTCGGACTTAAGAACTTCCTCCAAATGGCGGTCGCAGTCTTCAAATTCGGGCAGGGCCATACAGTCGACCCAGCTGGCGATGTCAACCGGCTCAACTTGCTGCACAGTGGTGGAGAAATTTGGAGAGTCAGTGGAGATGGAGTGGGGAGAATCGGTCCCGGAGCTCAGGCTGGTCGACGACGAACAAGACCGACCTGGGCTGGCTTGCAAGTCCAGCACGGACGTGGGTTCTGGCTGCACCATCTTCAAGCACGAAGTTTTCACCTTGAGGTCGAAGTCCTGGATGGGTGGTGGCTCCGGGGCCATTTCTTCCACGTGGTGCCAGGCCGCTTCGGATTTCCATCGCTTGCAGGTGGCTGTGGCGACCTCAGAGAAGATAGTGGGCGACCTCTTCTTGCTAACGACGTGAGTGGCAGCCATTGTTGCAGAGATTGAACAGACAGAGAGATCTTCCTCAAATGGCAAAGTTGCGAGCTTCCCAAATGTAAATTTTCACAAACCCAGACATGTGCTCAAACAAACTTCAAAATCCTTTCCCCCTGTTACCAAGTCCAGCTGTGAATGATCAACTGGGAAGCAGGATTTGTAAACACTAAGTTGCGTGCGGCAGATAGCCCGCAGATGAGACCCTCCAAAAGCTGCACTTAAAGACTAATTTCACAACCGTCGTCGAAAAAGTCCAATTAAGCAAGTCCAAGAGCTACGAACCCCTCGTATGGACTCCGCGAGTCGCTAGTGAAGCATCAAGAAAATTTCAGAGAGACGAGATTAAGCTCTAGCAGAAAATAAGCAACGTGCAAGCCCTTCATTACCAAAGCAGCACTAGCACTGCGTCTGAAAGAATGCAGTCTAAAAGACACCTCATATAAGTCTACAATTGAACATGATGAGAAATTCTGAGAGCATTTAAGATACTTGGTTCTAAAGCAATGAAGTGCAACAAGAGGGGTTTGCGAGAGCCAGGAAACGGAGATCACCGCCTGTAAACGAGCTGCAAGCGGAGTGTCCAACCTATACATGCCAGACCAGCAAAGAGCTCGACGATCGCTACATGCCCTGATCACTCACTGCTACAGTGCGATGATGGTGTAGAAAAAAATACAGGTACGCTTCACTACACAACCCCAAATCTAACCAGCGACACAGTATTACGATCGATCGATTATGGAAGTTACCATTAATCTCTACTGCCTGGAGTAGCTACAGAACCCTACCCTATGGGAACATGTACATGCGGCACAAGTCACAAACTCAGAAGCTCAGCTGGGCAGCGTAGGACCCACAGTCGGACGGAGATTGACAGGTTGCCAGAGCCGGAAGCAAGTTAAAGGACTGATGTGGGAATGAACGATGGACACTGTCGCAAGAAAAAGTTTGCCAGTGGTCCCCAGAGCCCATCGATCGATCACAAAGCTGCAGAGATGATCAGCGGTGGTTGTGCAACTTATTTACCAACTCCGTGATTTACCCACCCGTGGCTTTGATTTCGCTTCCACATGACTGATCCTCTTCCAAGTTAATCATGTCTTGATTTGTTTGGGGGTTATTTCCTGTCTTGAAATTACCAGATTGGCATGCAACTTACTGATCATGTGAAAACAAGAAAGAAAGCTGGGTTCGCTTAAAAAAGGATGTATCAAAATTATCTTCGGTTTTTCAACCACTATTCATTTTTCTTATTATTGAAGAAGTTGAGGATATGAGTGATTATCATTTGTTTGTTTCCCACAGCGTAAGAGACTGGAAACCATAATAAATATGTGTATAAATACAACATTTATATATCTGCAAATACTTTACACCTATATTTGTAAACAATAGTTCATGATTTATCTATTCGTTTACTCATTCCATATTTCAATGATTCGAGCCAGCCAAGACTATGATTGAATTGATCAATTACTTCGTGATTTTACGGATTTCGAATAAATAACTCGGCATTTAGAATCTGTCACGCGAGATCTCAGAAGACAACTATATTTACATGATCTAAATATGGATCTTCGGAGCCAAGAGTTGACAATTAGAACTACTTTTGACCTGTTGCCGATGTATTTTAGAACAGAAATAACACCAGTGTGGAATTCTTGACGATAGCCTGACGTCGTCCAGCAAAAAAGTATAAAAAGAGTGGCTATTAAAGCTTGTTCTGTAAATGAAAACCTGTTCAAAATGTGCTGGATCGTCAATAGCTCCGCTAGTCGCTTGTGAGCCGCGCAAGTTAACAATCACTTACAAACACTCACACTCATGATCACCTTAAAACCTTGGTCTCCTACAAAGCAAGAACTCCTTGACCGAGAAAATGTTCATACAACTTTATTAATCAGTTTCCTTACTCTGTTCATTACCGTCCTAAATCTTTAAAAAAGTATGGATTTAATCCGAAAAATTATTCAAAACATGTTTTCACGAAAACAAATTTCGATGATTACTTCTTACAAGATTTCAATTGTCAGCAAATATGAACTCCCCAAGTTACAAATGTGTTCCAAAATTCGCTCATTCCTATTAAACATTTACTTTCTTATTTCAATGGTTTACTTCTTTGCACCACTCGTATCAGAGTAAATTCTGTTAAGAAAAATCTTTTGAGAACGACATCATCTTCCTCCAAAAGATGGTTTGGCAACTGACAACGAATTCTTGAAGATCTGATTGGGAGATGATCACAGTGAGATTAATATTTACCGAGCTATTGGATCAACGGCCACGGTTCACTCCCAGTCAAGCGAGAAAGCTATGACAGCCTTGTTTGTTTGTGTGTTTGTTCACATACATGTATATATATATATATATATATATATATTTATACAAGCTTATACAGGCTTAAGTTCCTTGTGACTTTGATTATTGTTCTGAAGACTATCTTCCACGCGCTAAATTGTACGCTCGTGCCGCCTGAAACCTACTACTGCAGAATGTTTTGTTTTCTCCTTTTTAAATTTATTTATCTCTACATTTTTTCTTTCCTCTCTCAGCTTCAGCAAATCATCGGCTAGTTATTTAATTCCACACATAATTGGCACGTAAGACTCATTTACACCAGGGGAAGGGAGGGGGGGGGGTGGGCCGAGGAAGAGTGTCGGGAACGAGATGATTGACATGGGAGATCATGCATCCAGTGAGGAGACAGAGAGTCTGGACAAGGATCAGCTGCATTTGCGGAACACTGCAGAGGGGTCCAAACTTAGGCGATGACGATCGATGTCTCGTGCTCCTTAATCGGAGGGTGGGCTGGCCTCGCGATGCTCCGGAACCAGGAAGCCAGTTGCAGTCGATCAGAAGAACTTGGACTGCGATGAGAGATCGCATCGATCTACCGATCGATCACCCTAAAAACAGTTCCGCAATCGATCGATCAGGTTGTCTGCTCTACAGGAAGCCATCGATCCCTCTCACGAAGTTGCGATCAGATCACACTCGGCAATCACCAGCATCGCCACAACTGTTTCTCTGCGAACTTGGCAAACACACCGCTCAAGCTCCGCGCCGATCGGGTCATAGTTTTCTAGCGTTTTCGACCCCACTTTAATGTATGCATGTGTGTTTTTTTTTCTGGCGTTGGTGTTGCAAGGGAAAGAGGCGTGCGATCGTCAACGCCGACGCTTCATTCTTCGATCGGAGACTGTTGCATGATGTTGGCAATCCTCATTAATGCACTCGCTATTCTTGTTGATCATATACCTCCATTGTTTCCACACATTAAGTATACTCCCTGACTCCAGCATTCAGCGGTGAGTTTTAATATCGATTGAAAGATAATGCATACCAAAAAACAAAACACATCACAAGGTTACTCACTTAAGAAGGTCAACAATTAAGTTAAAAAAATATCAAAGACAAAACCAATACACAGTGTTTCATGTGGTTGTATTATGGTTTGGTTTTTTGAACGAGCGAGGGTAAACATCTATTTTTAGTATCAAAGTTTACCCTCGCTTGTTCTATGATTAGAACCAAACTAAAAGTAATTCAACATACATGAATTATATATGCATCACATCCTACAACTGGTAATAAATTATTGTAAAAAAGTATAAATTAAACAAGAATGTTTAAAGCGCCCAGAAAAACCAAAATTTGTGTGAATAAACACAACTCCAATGCAAAATCATTACGACCTATGAATTACCTATATTTGTAAAAAAAAAAATATCAACATAAAAATTTATGATCAACACACACAACTCGAGTAAATGTATGTAGGTATATATATGTATATATATTCTTGTAAAAAATGTACATACAAATAACTAGTCGTAGACTTTTTCATGGAATGGTTAACACATCTTAGTCGAGTACTTTTCACACATACACACACACACACATATATATTTGTATACACAAATAAATGAGTTTGGATGAATAGCATTCATATAGAGAACAATGATCAACGAAAATGATGGATGGATGGATGGATGGGAACCGATAATAAAAGCCATTAGTAAACTCTCAGAACCCCAGATTATATAAAGCAATGTAAGAGGAAGAAGAAAGGAGGAGCGCGTTCCCGGACACATATACGTTCCCCGAGATGGGGAGCGAGAGAGAGAACGTGAGATCATGGGGCGAATCCTGACCGCCCGTGGAGGGGGAGTATGATGTGCCGCAATTAGGAAATGCCCATGTGACATGTGGGGTCCATCTGGACCCGCCCCCTTGTCCACCCTGGCACCAATCCCCTCATCCACCCCCTCCCCCCTGCCTTTCTATTAAATAAAGCATAAAGAAACTCCATAAAAGTAAAAGGTTGCCCGCCTTGACTCAATTGTCAATCCCCTCTCCCAAGGCCCCTATTGCTCCGCCATTGCTATGTTTATCCATTCGCCCCACATTTCTACGTACCTATGCCCACTACCAAGATCCATACGATCTTTTTAAAGGGGACTAAATAAGTACTGTACTTTAATACACCCCCCCCCCATGGATGCAAATTTGTTTTAATGTTTTTGAAGTTTTCAAATAAAAATAAAAAAAAGGGTTTGAGCCAATGGCTATAATGTAAAAGATTCATTCGTCCAATTGTGTTGAAAAAGCCTTTTCTCTTTTCCTTCGCGTGGGACAAGCGTTCCCGAGCTCGCCATGTGATGGGGAACCATTAAAATAGGGTGGGGCCGGGTCTCAATAGATTGTGAGTTGTTTTTCGTGTAGGCGTTGGGAACGGGGCACGCCCACTTTTTAGGTTTCTTGGACTTCACGCTGACCAGATTCCAGTGGGGCAGTTACTTCAATGCACAAGGAAATATAGTGTAATATGGGGACTTTCCCACTTTGCCCGACTGGGCTGTTAATTGCCCGTTTGAAAAACAAATTAATATGACACGAGACATGTAGCTTAGGGAGTGCCCTCTCAATTGGGACCAAAGTCAAGCAGGAGGGATAAATAAATAAAATAAATCTGACCGAATAGGGTTGGCTGTGAGAGTATGTTAAACACAAGGGAAAAATATCCAATGCCTGACCATAAATTGTGGCACGGGTATCGACCCTTACAAAAAAGAAAAAGGTTTTGTGAGGCAGATAATGAAGTGATGCTGCTGCTGCTTATGAGAGAGGGGTAACTATTCCTCATCCAATTAGGGGGCCCTTTTCTTCATTTTTTTTTTTTCGTTTGAAGACTTTGTCATTCTGGGTCTTAACCCAATAGTTTCTCTCATGAGGCATCATGACACATGGAAAATCTAAAAATACATACAAAATCATCTGATTTTATTTTAAAAAGATTCAACAAAATTTAGGAAATATTCAAGTATCATATTTAGGATATTTGAAATATATTTTATATTAATTAATTTATTACGAAATAATATGGATTTTTTTTAATGAAATGTTGCAAATGTACAAAGCAAGGTTCAAATGACACAAATGAATGAAAACCATATATATATATATATATATATATATATGTATATTTATTTATTTATTTATATTTATACATACATACATTAGAGTGCATCACTTTGTTGAGTAAGGTAGATGTTATTGTTGAAAAGGTTTCAATCCAACACCAATTTGGCATGTTAACTTATTTGAGTTTGGCTTGTGGTCCACATCTCATGATTCTCACCCTGAATGAACACAAAGCATTCTTTAAAAAAAAAAGAAAAAAAAAAGTACCCAGTAGTTCAAAAACCGAC